ACAGTACCCCAAGGGCATCTGCAAGTGCATTACTTATTCAATAATCAGTTACTTTAGAATGCTGGAAAAACAACTATTTTGACAGTGCAAATCATTTACAATTATTAAATAACACTATAAAAAAACCATCACAATAAATAATCTCAGTTTTTTTCTCAAGGGCAATTACAAGTCATCTTTTTCTGCTGAAATATATGGGCACATGTACAATGGTTTTTCCTTTTGTGTGAACAAGCCGGGCTTTTTAAAGGTGCTGTTTGTATTACAGAGCTGGCTGGACTGGTTAGTGAACTGGGTACCTTACTGTGGAGGCAGAGTTCACAACTTTGATTCCTAGCTGAGCCTCCTAGGAGAGGGCCCAGCCTTGGGAAAGCTGAACAATTGAGGAGCACCCTTCAGAAGAAGGGAATTGTAATCCACTTCAGAATACTCTATACATAGTTAGAAAACTCTGGAAAAAAGATCACCATCAGTCAGAATCTACTTGACAATACATATTATTATTGATACTTTATTGATAGTGATACAAGATAATGCATTTTCTTTTCCAAGACATTCACAAATATATTTTCATATCAAGATGACAAACTATTCACCAAGTTAATCTGAGTATGCTGTGTGGCAGCAATTCTTTTACAGAGCACTGGTGCATTAATGAAAAGCAACAAGTCCCCCTTTCCTCCCATTGTACCTGTGTCTACTTTTTAAGATTTAGTTTTGTGTAGTTTTCTTAATGGTGAGAACTACCATGAAGACTGGTAGTTCTCACCATTAAGACAGATTTTGTTTTCCTGTGCTCCATGATTGCTGCGGATGGAGACAGCAGCCACGAAGTTGAGGGACGCCTGTTTCTTGGGAGGAGGGCGATGACAGATCTTGGCGGCATCTTGAAAAGCAGAGACATCACCTTGCCAACAAAAGGCCGAATAGTCAAAGTTATGGTTCTTCCTGTAGTGATGTATGGAAGTGAGAGCTGGACCATAAAGAAAGCAGACCGCCGAAGAATTGATGCCTTTGAATTGTGGTGCTGGAGGAGGCTCTTGAGAATCCCCTGGACTGCAAGGAGAACAAACCTATCAGTTCTAAAGGAAATCAACCCTGAGTGCTCACTGGAAGGACAGATCCTGAAGCTGAGGCTCCAGTACTTTGGCCATCTCATGAGAAGAAAAGACTCCTTGGAAAAAACTTGATGTTAGGAAAGTGTGATGGCAAGAGGAGAAGGGGACGACCGAGGATGAGCTGGTTGGACAGTGTCTGCGAAGCAACCAACATGAATTTGACACAACTCCGGGAGGCAGTGGAAGATAGGCGGGCCTGGCGTGCTCTGGTCCATGGGGTCACGAAGAGTCGGACATGACTAAACGAAACGACCATGAAGACTACCTCAACTTTTTAAATGTAACTTCATAGAGCTCTTACTTTTTCTTTCTAAACATTTACTAAACATGTAAAGATAATATATTTTCCTATAGCAAAGTGCAGCAGGAAATACTGGTATATTTATCCCATATAAGCAGCATGTTACATGAGTCAGTAAGATGTGAAAGTATGAACTTTGTCCTTCTGAATACAGTACTTGATCAAGTCTTGATGACTGTTTGTAAAATGTAGACCCTAGAGTGAAAGCACTCCAACTATTACACAACTATTTCATTTACTCTAAAACCAGAGAACTGAAAAAGAATCAAATAAACTTTTCCTATCTCATTTTCACACATCACATACATCAAGAAAGAAGTGAGTCTAGAAAAAGAGATTAGCATGTCAACAAGAGGTACTGCATCAAAACATGCAACACAAACTATTGCTTAGTTCATGCAGAAAACCTATAGCCCTTGGAGCAAATCCAGACCGACTTCCGTATATTCAGATGTGGATACGTTTCTCATGCAATATCCCCTCACTATACTCGCATCAAGTCATTTTAATGGGCCCTATTTTCTTTTAGTGTATGTGTTGTTTCCCCCTCCCCCAAATAACAAAACGAATACTGTACATAAAAACTTGCTTGAGTTGGAAAAGTAAAGTCTATTTTAAAATGCCCCTTTTTTTCTTGCTACATATTGACCAAGATAAATGTCATATATCCCAACTGCCCAATTTTTGCTTGCAATTTGGATGTCAACAGCTTTTGACAGAGGTAATGCAGAAATCAAGAAGAAAAAGATTTTCCAGTCCTACATGTGTTAACAGAAGTGTTCTGAAAAAAAACACACCACTGAAATACAAAAAAATATGTATAAACATTGGGGTTCATCAATTAAGTTTCAACCCTGCAGATACATTAGTTGAAACATAATTCAAAACACAGAGAGAAGTGTCCCTTTGGTGTTCACCCTTTTGGCCCCTGCTTATTTCCCCCAAACACAGAGCTCACAAGGTACCTCAGCCCACCCTCTGATACGCTGCCGCCAGTTGATCTATTTTATCAACTTAGAAAAGACGAAGGTTCCAGACTCAGACTAACTCCCCTCTCAGACTCCGCCTTTTAACATCTTTCAGCCCCGCCTCTTAACCACATTAACATATAACATGAACAATGCATAACTTACAATGCATAACTTAGGGTGAACGCTACAGTCCCCATCCTGGATTTGACTCAAGTGCCAAATTAACAACAACAACAACAACAACAACAACAATAATAATAAAAACCTGGACATAACTACATTTTACGATTGCAACTGTCAAACTAGTCTGATATCTAGCAACTTTAAAGAAAATTCACATTTCAAGACATTTAAATAATGTTCGTACAGTGGTGTCTCGCATTACGAGTGCTCCATTTTACGACAAAATCGCTTTACGTTGAAGGTTTTGCGATCGCAGAACAATGTTTCCTATGGGGGAATTTCGCTTTGCTATGATCGGTTCCCTGCTTTGGGAACTCATTCTTGCAAAGCGATGGTTTTCGGCCAGCTGATTGGTGGTTTCAAAATGGCCGCTGGGTAAAAAACATGGCTCCCCACTCTTTTCTGGGACGGATTCCTTGTTGCACTGGCAGCGAAAATGGCCGCACTATGGAAGATCTTCACTGGACTGTGAGTTTCAAGCCCCTAGGAACGCATTAATCGGGTTTTAATGCGTTTCTATGGGCTTTTTAATTTCACATTACGTTTTCTTTCTAGAGCGATTTCGCTGGAACGAATTAACATCATAATGTGAGGCACCACTGTATCTCCAAATATCTAGAGTTTGACCTAAGGATCCCATCAACCCTGTCTCCTGATCAAATCAGAGAAATATCCTCAAACTAGTAGCAATGCCATTACTGATTTATTCAATAGCTTTTGACTTTCTAATTTGCTCAGCATAACTATTTGAAATATTGAGATCACCTTCTAATGATAGTGTCCCCTTTCTTCTGCAGGTTCCATGTTCTTTATCACCCTTTCTGAACAAGCACATCAGGTTTTCGCAAGGATCTATGTACATCCATATATGTGCCCATCCCCACCAACCTCTATTAAGCACTAGTCAGTCGAAAATGATTAAACTGGTAAAATGTTCTTGGGTACTCTTCAACATGTTGCATTTCAGCACTCCTGCAAACGAATGCTTATAAAAACCAATTTCACCCATACAGAAAACTGAATACTACCTGGATGAAATTACAGACCAGTATTTCCCACAATGCATAAGTTTTCTATCACATGGATCATCTTCATTTGGACATATTCCAAAACTTGCAACACCCTCTCCTTCCCATTACCACCTCGAGTCTTAAGAGCACAGTTTATAGCACTTCACATATAGTTTGCACAGGTCAGATCTGTAAAACTGCATCCAGTGCTTTTCCTGGGTGAGTGGGGGAAATAGGAGAGATCTCACTTTGCTCTTGGAGGATAGGTTTCTCTTAAGCAAGATTAGAGGGGGCTGAAGTTTGTTTGTTTATTTAACTTATATGCTGCCCAAGCTACCCAAAGGTCTCTGGGCTGCTTACAACGATTAAAATACAATAAAAGATAAAATGATTAAAACGCAATTAAAATACAATCTAAAAATTGCCACCAGGACCCACAGTTGATGTTATTTCAATTAAAAGCCTTCTGGAACAGAAAGGTTTTGACCTGCCGCCGAAATGTCATAAACGTCAGATGAATCTCAGTCGGGAGGGCATTCCATAGTCTGGGGGCAGCTGCCAAAAAGGCCCTTTGTCTATAAGGCGTCCCTCTTACCTCCTTGAGGGACGGCTCTTTCAAAAGGGCCCCCTGGTTAGATCTTAGCTGCCGGGTAGGCTCATATGGAAGGTGGTGGTCCTTCAGGTATCCAGGGCCCAAGCCATTGACCTCTACTTCCTCCTTTCTGGGCCTATTCTTCTTCCTCCCTCCCAGTTCCAAGGCAAGAGTCCACTCCAACCTCCCTGTTTTCCATTCCTCCACCCATTTATAAACATGATACTGTAATCTTGGAACTGCAGAGCTGGAAAGGTCCCTATGGATCATCGAGTCCAACCCCACTCAAGGAGGCCTAGAGGGGAATTGAACCCTCAGCCTCTGGTTCAGCTTCCAGATATTTTATTCCCTCCTCCCCAAAAGTCTGTGGCACCCCCACCCCCAATCCTAAACCCCATACAAACGGGGCCCCTATCTTCCCCTTTCGGCTCTTAATTCTTCTTCCCCATCACCAACCTCACCTCCTACTCAAACCGTCCTTCTCGGACACCTTGGGGGGGAGGGAAGAGAGAGAAGAGGAGGTTCTCCCCGGCCCTCTCGAGGCCTTGGGGAAGGTCTACCAGGTGTCACAGGGCGCCTGCTTAGACCCCACCGCCAGCCTGGCTCCTGCCAAAGCGCTAGGCCCCACCTCAACCTTGGGCCACCATTCCGCAGGCCGAGGGATTCTCCAAGCCCTTTTAAGCCTCCCGACCGGCGTAACCCCGGCGTCGCGACTAGGCCCTGCGCAAACCTCCGAGTGACCCTTCCGGCCACGGCCCGGCCCACCCGGAGCAGGACAAGCGAAGGAAGAGTCAACCCCGGGCCCGTCATTCCTTTCCATCTTACCTTCCTTCCCTGCCCCACCCGCCCCCTCGAAGCCTCTTAAGGCTCCCGAGCGGGCTCCGCCGTCGCTACTGCCGGAAGTCCCCGCCAGAAAGGAAGCCTCCACCTGCCGCCGCCGTTGCCGCCGCCGCCACCGTCGTTACCACACAACCAGGCGTTGTCCGGAACTAGCCGGCGGCCGCGCGGGCCCATGGGACCTGTAGTCCGCTTCCGGGGAAGACTACAACTCCCGAAAAGCATTGCGAAGCAGGGAAGACTCTGGCGGTCAAAAGAGAGCGGCGCGAAGGAAGGAAACGGGAGGGATGGAGAGGCCGGAGCTGGGAGGAGGCGGAGGAAGCGTGCTCCAATCAGGAGGCGGCGGAGGGAGAAGGGGCGTGGCGTTGACCAAATTAGGAAGGGAGGGGCGGGGGAGAGGGAAAGTATTCCAGGCGCTGCAAAGACGCCAGAGAAACAATCCCCGAGGCGGTGCTCGTGGCTGTTGCTCCGGCGGAGAAGGCGCCGCAGTCCCGTGGTGGAGTTAAGCCAGGGCGCGACCCCTTCCAGCTGCAAACATCAGCCTCAGTTGTCAGCGGAGCTCCCCGCCAGGTAAGGACCCCGCGCCGGTGACTTCGGGCGAACAGAGGGGAGCGAGCTTGCTTGCTTGCGTGCAGGGCGGACCGCATCTGCTTCTCTCCTTCCCACCTTTGGGTTGAGGTTTCTTGCAAAAAAGGAGAAGAAGGATTCGCGCTCGGCGCTGAGCAGATGTGCATTGATGCCCGTGTTGGCATTTTTTAAGTGTTTGGCGTGAGTTTCTCCCCTCCCCCTCAAAAAAATAAAATAAAAATAAGATTTGCTGTTCTTCGCAGAAAAATAGTAGGATCCGCCGTGGGCACCAGATGGCTCAGCAAAATAACTTGACCCGCTTCCCAATTATTGGGAAACCTCTCCTCTAACAGACCGAGGCGATATAACAGATCCTCCTGAAATACTTCTCCCTTTGATGAGGACCCTTCACTGTTTCTTTCCCCTGTTGCTAAATACCTGCTAGGCTATATATTGCTATGTCTCATCCTACCGAACCCCTCCCCTTCTATACCTCTAAACTACACAGGTTTTCTTGAAAACGCAGGCAAACAAATCTACAGCTGCTGTCCCTTTTCCCCCTCAAAAGGAGATTTGGACGGATACATGATTCCACTTGAGTAGCTAGAGAAATGCTCCTTTTATTTCAATATTGTGTCGGTTTCCTCCATTGTCCTTCTCCATCAGCCAGAATTCACATGCGTTCTTTCCCGAAGATCGATCTCTCTCTCAGCACAGTGCTGCCATTTGCTCTAAGAGATACTGAGAACTTGAAAATGTATGCTTTCAACTGCATGTGAGAGACGGGAGAGTAGAGTGAATGTTGTGTTTTAAAATATTGTGGTTCTCTGGGGAGAAAGAGTGTTCCCTTTTAGGACCAGTCTCTAGAGATAAGATGTAGTGTCTAGATTTAGCACATCTTAATGTTGTTTTTTGTGTGCAGCATTGCCTATTTTTTAAAAGAGGTTGTATTGGAAATAGCGCCTTGAAAGTTTTATATCAGATGTCGGCACATTAAAATGGGCATTAGCTGTTGGGCGTAATGTATTTATTCCCATGTCTGTTGATACAGGATGAAATCTTAATAAAGAAGTCAGGAGGAATTTTGTCACTGGCTTCAAGCAGTTCCTTGTTTCATATTTCCAGCTGCTGTTAAAGAAAGAAAAATTGTGTTAATATTTGACTAATATAGTTAAGTTGAAATGTTTCAGTCATTCAGATGAAAGGGGAACAGTTTGCAGGTCTTTCACAAAACATTTATATTCAGCCTTAAGATGTTACAGAGACAGAGATGTGGTAAAGTTGATGGTTCCTCTAGCCAGCCCCTCCCCATGAAAAGAGTCTAAAATGCAGACTGCTGGATTAGTCCATATACCAAAAAAGAGAGAGTAAAGTCTTTGATGAAGTGAATGGCTGCTAATTGTTAATGCAATAACCAAACCACCCTTAAATACCTTGTATTACAATAAGGACCACATGTAGCAGTACACTATTCCTTGGGGAAAATCTGTTTTTCTCCCAGCTACTGTGAGGATTGCAGCTAAGCTCAAAGGAAACTAGGAAGTGTGGCTGGAGGAAAGGGGCATCAGGAGACACAATAGTCCTTGTTTCTTAGTAAGCCCTGGAATGTTCACCTTGCAAGCTTTCCTTCCCCCATCCATATCACTGAATAAAAGTTCCAATTCTGCATATAACACCCATTGATGTATTCAGTGCAAATGAATGTACCTAGAGTAGTGAGCACACACTGCAATACTTGAATCTACAAATAGATTGTGGAAATGCTAACACAAAAGGAACACATGTTGAGTCCATTGGACCTTATTCTAATGGTAGTTTGCCCAGAATCCTTAGACTGAATTATCCATATTAATCTGATTTCTAGCATGCTGTGTATTACATAAACAGTTTGCTAGTAAAAGCCGTTAAACCTGTGCCACAGATATGGCTTCTGTCTTTGAGGGGAACTTTTTCATTGAATTTGAAGTTGCAGAAGAAAAGTTGACATTGAAAACTAAATGGGAGTGAGTTTGGTGTTTCCTCTAAGATGACTGGACCTTTACTGGGATAACGGAGAGCTGCTGTACAGAAAAACAGAGTGTTGCCTTATGAAGCTGTAGACTGTGCACAATGTGAATGAGAGTTTAGATATAGAGAATAGTATGGAACTGTCTTCCATTTTCTTCATTTGATATGGGGGTTATACATTGGCTGAAACCCTGTTGCACAGCTGCATGTGCATTACATGAAGGTGCAGAAGTGCTAGAAAAAAATTATGGCAGGGTGGAAGTAATATTTTTATTGACTTTATTTTTATTCTGCGTTTTATTTTTATTCTGCGTTTTATTTTTATTCTGCGTTTCTCTCCTGCTGGAGTCCCAAGCCGGTGTACAACATTTCAAAATCAACAATTAAAGCAAGCTGGTTAATATTTTAAAATTATAAAATCTCCATGAAGCCCTTCTGCAGGCATGTTGCACAAGAGTCCCAATGTGAACCATGCAACCAGTTGCATGACTATAATGCAAACTGTGTGCCATGCAGCCACAATGTGAATGTGCAACCAGGGAACAAACTGTGTGATCCACTGCACAGTGCTGACTGTATGGGACTAAGGCCCAACACACATCCTTAGGCATATCTTTATGTTGCACTTTCTTGAACAGGATTTCTGCCCATGTTTCTGAATGTTGAGCCCCCTGCTTTAAAGGGCAATGTCCTTAATATTTTAGACTTCCCATTATTTGTGTTCTGCCTATGCTAATGATCACTAATGATAAGAGAAGATCTTGATCTTATGTTCTGTAGTTCTGCATAAATGCTAAAGTTCTAATCCTGCAATGTATGAAGTGGGAAGATTTTTGACTAATCCTATGTGATTCCATCACATTGTTAAGAGCAATTAAAATGTTAAGCATTGTAAAGCTGTCTAGGAAACCAGCTGTGAGGATTGTTTTTCCTTGACAATTTACTTGCCAAATCGATTTCTGCCAAAATGAAATTATCATCTGGGTGACCAGTATCTACAGTGCCTGCATGAAAGTATAACCTTCTAGTTAGGTTTTGACTTATTGGAAATAACCGAGAAGCCAAATAATGCAAGCCTGAGAAATGTTTACATACAAGCAAGCTATACTGAGTTCAGTGGAAGTTCTTCCTGCTGTGTTTAGGATGTTGCCAAGTTTCAAGTAAGAAATGCAGAACAGCAATGCATGCTATTAGCTTACATATCATTAATGAAGTATTTATTGCAGTCTGTAGGATAACTGAAATAATTGGTCTGTGAATTGACACACTGTTATCCTGAGCACTTGAGTTGGTATTTTTGTTTGCTGTATTTGTGGCATTTCCTATGTGTTTGCAAGAAGATGTTTGTCCCAAGCATGTATCACTGGCATCCTGCTATTCTGATGCTTTCTTCCACTTAGCCCTTTTTTATCAACTCATATGAACTCAAATTATTATCACCACTGCAGTGTTCAGATTCACGCAGACCCCTGGAGAGATTAATATTGTCAGTGCTGTGCTTGTGTATAAAGCTGGCATGTCCTCCTTCCTTATTGTGTATACTTGCGAATTTTTGCCTCTTTCTCATTTAATTTAAGAAAATTTGCAAACTGATAGGATTGGGCATGGTGTATTCCACCTCATTGTCAGACCATACATTTTTACATTGCTTCAAATTGGTATTCTTGCCTTGATGGTTTTGTTTCCCTCTGCTAAATTTCTTTTACTTATCCCAATATAAGTAGTAATAGAATAATGTATGAGAAGACAGACTTCCACGTATAAATTGGCTCCAGTGCAGTTATTCCCAACCTTTGATAACCCAGCTGCTCTTAGACTGCAATTCCCAGAAGCCTTCATCAGTAGGTGTGCTGGCTGAAGTTTTCGAGAGAGATGTCAAAGAGTTGCATGACATCTGCACGGCGTGCAGATCTGTGCTTCATTCTATAGATTCTCCAGATCAATCTTGGAATGTCTTCTATCTGAAATCCTGCTGCCAAATGTTGGCGGTATTTGGAATCTGACTATTCCCTTTTTATTGCAGGGGAAATCATGGAGAGACCTATCCAGTCTGATCAAGGAAACAGAAGGATGTTCAGTTTGGAAGCCTTTTTGTTAATGGAAACAGAAAATTTCTACTTACCGTTTGTTATGTTATCTTAGAACTGTAGAGTTGGAAGGAACCCTATGGATCATTGAGTCAGCACCTGTCAAGGAGGCCCAGTGGAGAACTGAACTCTCAGCCTCTGGTTCTGCCGCCAGATGACTAAACTGCTGAGCTATTGAGCAGTTTGAGCTATCCAGCGGTTTGTTCTTATATAGATATAGGTACAGTATAGATATTGGCTGAAATCTTGTTATATAGCATATAAAGTTGCAGCCAGAATATACTCATTTGAATCAGCGGATCATACAGAAGAGTTGATTCACCAAAATCCAACTGATTCAGTGGATCTACTCTAGTGCAACCTATTAGACTAAGTAACAGGAGTGCAGCCATTGTGCAGAACTGCGTCTCCACACATCTCTCCTTGGATGGCAGAAACTGGAGGAGGGAGGAAATGTAGTTTACAAAGGAAGCAACAGGAAGGAAGGGGTGGTCTCAGATATGCTT